ATGCGACACACTGCCATTCTGGTCTACCTTGGAGGCCAGCTTTCGCCTTTTGTTGCCAACCCATGTCTGCAGGGAGAAGAGTAATCAGCTCAGTAACAGCACTTAAAAAAGACATTCTGCAGAACACTAGAGGAACTAATTCAGCAAAGTGAGGATAATAATTCATGACTCTGCACTAGATGAAAAACTCATAGGAGGGAAACCACAGACTCATGGCTTCAGTTATTTTCCCCAGCACTACATGGGCATCCCTTACAGCAAATACCACAGGGGAACACAAATCACAGCAGATAGTTTTGCCTCCGTCTTCCTCATTCAGGCACACACAAGCACAATTTATGGGCCTACCCGAACAACGCTGAAGTCCAATTTGGCCTCCTGAGCACACTGCAGTATTAGCTGGAAGCAAGCCTTGCTCTGATTGGTCATCCCATTCTCGTAGTAACGTTCCAGGATCCTCTGCTGTTCAGTCGTAAACACTGATCGCAGGTTCATCTGAGAGACGACCAGAGAGATAGAAAACCCTCCAAAATTACCCTTACATAGAACTTACTCCTAGACAGAGCACTGGGACAGACTATTAGACGATTTGTTTAAAAAGCTAAAACTTTTACTGTGAGTGTGGAACTGGACGACACTTGTGCAATTTCCTTTCTTCAGCTAACACAATGCAACAAGATCTTATTTTTTGTAATGAAATATAGCAGTGCATCAACTATTACAAGATTACAACTGCAGCAGCAGTATGTGTTTTAACTTTTTCTAACACACCTCATTTCATTTTTCAATCTATATTTCTGTACAATTCTTGATCTACTTACAGTCTGCAGACCACGCCTTTGAGGCCATGCATCCATTCTGCTACTGGAGGGGAATGGGGCAGCCATGTAGATCACAGCAAAAACGCCACATTTCTAGGTTAGCACGAGTTTGATTGTGCTCATCCCATCTCAGTGTACCTGGCACACTGCTGGAGGAGGGAAAAAAACACATCACTATCAGTAAGAGTGTAAATACAAAGGACATGACAAAACCAACAACTAGTCGATATCTTGTTGCACATTTCTGTGTAACAGGATCTGTTTCGTTGTGTTGTAGACTGTCATATATTGCATGAATAAAGTTTTTATCAAACATTGTGAAGCTGCCAAGGATACAACAGGGTGTCAATCAAAGTACAATAAGCTATGACAAAGCCACTGTGTAACACGGATAATACTATCAATCAATCTGATATGTCAAACCTCACAAGACACTGTTTAGTTTATCAACAGGAAACTATTTATAGTCTCCTTGGGTAAATCCTGGAGTTAAAATTGTACACTTATTTATTACAAGTGTTTTATGACTTGTTGACAAAAACAAAACGCCATAATGTATCATAAAGGTCAAATAAAACAATAACAAAACAGATTTCCACATGGGAGCATAATTGCTCTATAACAAGCCTTCAAAATAATAAAAGTATGTACATGAATAGCTTATATTTTTCAGTGTCCCATACAAAAATGTGAATTAAAGGGGTGGAGTGGAATGAATATGAATTAAAACATATTAAACTTTTGCAGAAAACTTGTATTATGTTAGTACACAGGAAGGGAAAGGAAAAGAGCAGAACACAGTTCAAGTTGCTACACCTGGACTTGCCGATAGCTAAAAAAAGGTGGTGACCAAGTTTGAAATACACTTGGTAGAGGTTTTTATAAACAAAGTCACACACGGGGATGTCGTGCGACCACTAAGCATCCAGCAGGTTTATTTTGGCTGGCTGACTACGCATACACTCCAGATGGAAACATTACGGGGAGAATTTGCTAACAAATTGTGAACACCTCAGATCAGTACGCCACCAAGGCAAGAGCCCAACGAGTCAGAAACACAATTACCACACAGGAAGCGCATGCCACAACTTTACAACCGAGAGCCAGACAGTAAACAAACCGGGTAAGCGCCGCATCACCACAATAGCCATACAGTCAGCTCCGTTAGCTTGCAGGCCCGAGCGGCCATATCGGAGGCAGCCAGCTATGCTAGCATTAGCATAGCTTGTAGCTTTCCCACCGGATAGCTGCAGCTAAACTTTTCCTTCAAATCTGTGATTTCCCGACCCCTGGCATGGTCATTCTCGCCTACTCTGTCTTCGAGCAGATATGAACAAAAAGAATTCGAGACAGCCCAAAGGGAAAAGTAAAATAACTTTATTGCTTACCATTTTTGATGTCAAAATCAGACGAACGTTCAAATTCAGCAGATTTCTTCAGCAGTCCCCTTTGCTAGACAATGAAATCAGAACGTCCGATCATCAATTCTAATCATGATTGTGACGTATTTGCAGACATGAGCCAATGAGGGCTCGAGATCATCGCTGTGACATTCGGAAAGGGCTGAAAACTGAGCCGTGTGGTCCCGCCCCCCCGCCGGTGACTTTGTCCAGTAGCTGCTGGGGTAGGAAGAGGTCAAAGACATGGGAGCAGTCGAAACTTTGGATGGGGAATGGCTCGTTTCCTCATCATCTGAACGTAGCGTCTAAAGTAGGTTGTTTTTTTTGCTGAGGTGGAAAGTAACTAAGTACATTTACTCATTGTTTCCTTCATTGGCTGTTGTAGTTTTCATTATGCTTCTCTCATTGGCTGTTTTACAGTGCCTTAGATTTTGATATTTAGATTTTGTGTGGCATCCGTGTGGACGGCAAAATAAAAATGTCATTGTACAGGGAAACACGTTTCCTCACTGTGCATATGACAATAAACACCTGACCTTGACCTCTAGTACTGTACTTTAGCACAATTTTGAGATATCTGTACTTTACTTGAGTATTTTCCTTTTCTGCTACTTCATACTTCAAATTCACTACACTTCAGAAAAACTTTGTATTTTGTACTCACTACATTTATTTTATTACCTTTGTCACTAGTTACTTTTCAGAAAGAGGTTAATAAAACAAAATACAATATGATCACAAGATTTATTGACTCATGGTGTAAAATTCACAAGCTAGTAGTATGTAAGGTAAGGTAGTTAAAACTACCACCACTTTTACCATCTACAACAATCAATGTATGAATACACAATAATAAATCAATAAATATATTCAAATCATAAGATGTACATCAACATAAACTATACAATTTTGCCTAATGAGTACTTTTACTTTTGGTATTTGAAGCATATTTTCTGCTAATACATTTGTACTTTTACTTAAATAACATTTTGGATGCAAAACTTTTACTTGTAACAGTAATTTTACACTATGATATTGCTACTTTTAATTAAGTAAACAATCTGAGTACTTCTCCCCCACTGGTGTTTAGTTAAATGTCTGAAACCATGCTTGGCTGTACAGTATTCAAATATACGATTAAAATAAATAAAATACTGTATATAGGCTATATACATACGTATGTGAGCCTATTAGATAACAAATGTGATCAATCTTTATTATTGACCTTTAATTAATATTAGACTTTATATGTGCAGAAAAGATTAGATATGATCTGTTTCTTTGTTGTATTTTTTGTTTGTTTTTGTTTTGTTTTTTTCAGGATTCAAAATAGACCTATAGAAGTTTAGTAGTTTAAATGTTAAAATTAGCTTTTGGTTTACATTATATTTACATTTACATTTACATAGTGAATCTTGTTCCGTCTGCGTTGGCCATACTGCATTAACTTATCATCATGCAAACAAAACAAATGTAATTTAAATTTGATTACACTTTATATTTCAGTTTGTAATACAGGGTTTAGATAAGAAAAAAATACTCTTCTTTGTAAACACCACTAGACTGTACTGCACCTTTGGCAGTTAGATGCTGTCTTATTACAGTCCAATAGCTTATTGGCAATATTACCATTACATATGGGGAAGAGAGAGAGGCTAAGAGTAGGTATGAAGAATTAACTATCCAGACCATTGGGCAAATGGAGTAATAAATATTCTCTCCTTTGGAACCAGGATGAAGCCAACATTGACCCTGCCCTGAACCGGGACTTTACCAGCAACATAAACGCACAGACGGCCACAAGTATTCACATAAACGATTCTCAACTGTTACAATCAATTTAGATAGTCATACCCGAACATAATCCTGCACTTTAAACCAAATGTGCCTTTGATTGTATATAAAACCAATAAAGACATGTCAACAGTGATTTGTTGTTTGTTCCTATTGTGTATGGGGCTGAAGGTGGTGGGGATTTAAATAACTTTTAAATGCACAAGCCAGCAGCCTATACAAATGCCATCAGTGATAACTCCCATTACAAAGAGGAAGGCTGTGATCATAATCTGTGGCTTCTTGACTCTGCTTTGTGGTTTTATTATTTCTTTCTTTTCCTTTTTAATATAATTCATCTGCATTCTTTCTTTATTTTGGGGGTTATATATATGTATACACATATATATGCTTTCTCCATCTCACTTCACTAGCCTGTGTAACGTGTGTGTGTGTCTGTAGTGGTGGTGGGGTGGGGTTGGGGAGCGCTGCTGCTTTAATCCATGACGTCAGCTGTGTCCCACGTGCGCAGCAGGGGGCGCTGTTCCCCACAGCTGATCCCATGCCTCTAGCAGCGTTTGACAACTGATGCTGATTTCCTCATCTATGGACAGTAAACTTAACCCAGATGACACAAGACACCGAATTCTGTTCTCTAATCCACATAATAAAAACATTGTTTCTATAGTATTTCCACAGACACTTTTGCTTTAGGTTAGCCTACTGTATAAAGACTAGTGTAATAAAGTCCCACTTAAGTTATTGTTGCATAAAGCCCTCCTCTCTGTATATGCATGTGCATGTGAGTGTGAGGCATGGAGGGAGGGAGACAGAGATCCTCCCTATATGGTGTGCGTTGCACCATTCCCTGGTCTGTATTATGAGTGGTGGCCCTTGTGATGCTGCAGCAAGGCGGGCGGGAGGAAAAGAGGAGAGGGGAGGGGTCGCTCCATCCCTTCGCGCTCACCGAATCCACTTCTCACAGCGTACGGGCTGCTGGCGGGAAGGCAGAGAAGCACAGAGAGAGAGAGAAAGAGAGAGAGAGGGGGAAGCGTGTGTGTGCGTGTCTCACTGTGTGCGCGTGGATTGCACCACCGCATCCCGCTCACCGTTTCTGCAGGCGGCCGGGCTCTGATGGAGAGAATAAAACTGACGAGCTTTCTTTTCCCTCAGATTTACCCACCACCGTGTCATTCCAGATGTGACTGACAAGTCGTTTTATGTCGCCTGCGTTGAGTCCTGTGCTGTTCATCTCGGAGAGACTGTGACACCATGGCTCTGGTTATGGAACCTATAAGTAAATGGACACCAAAGCAAGTGCTGGACTGGATGAAAGGTAATTTTTGGATCCCGTTATTGCATCAGGCTGATGTTCATGCTGCTCCTTGTTAGAATGGGGATGATGATGATGAAGGTGGTGGTAATGGTAATGGTGATGAGCAGCAGAGGGCCACACTGTGTGCATGTGTGTTCTCCTTATTCAAACCTACAGGCTGCCGTGTGAATGTTAACTGACAACAGCGAGGCCGATTTATAGTCACTAAAGTAGAGTGAATGCGTTTGAGCCAGTGCAGTGAAATGGATGTCCCCCAGAAGCAGGGAGTGGAGGCTCTGCATCTCGCCTCCCTTCACCTTAGGCTTATGCTGCTGCTGACTCTGTCAGGATCAGCAGCAGAATAGCTCTCATCAGTGGAGCTAGAAGATATGTCACCTGCTGGTTCACTCACTGGCACATGCTCTACAGCCCACATCACCACTCACTGTGTATGTGCGCCTCTGCTTGTGTGCATGTGCGCGCACGCGTATGATTAATGTAGTTAGCTGCATACGCACCCCCTCCTCCACCCCCCATTCACCAATACCAGCCGTACAGTCAGATTCAGAACCATGGACAGCGCAATGCTCCCTGCCAGATAAGGCAAACGCACCGATCACACTCGCTTCTTCTTCGTTGCTCGCTTTGCTGGCGAGATCCGTCCTTTCAAACAGACAGCATGAATGAGTAATCACTAATCATGCGCGCGCGTGTGTGTGTATGTGTGTGTGTGTGTGTGTGTGTGTGTGTGTGTGTAGTAGGAGCTGTTCTCACACTCTTCAGCTACAGAGCTGTGAGAAAAACTGTGGTAGGCCTATTGACAGACAATGGAAATGTGGAGGGAGGATGTCTGCAATCCCTTTACTTAAGAGAATGACTTAATCACTACTTGTGGGATGACTCAAACCTAAATGTAATGATCCTAAAGATACTTGTGATTGTGTGTCTGCATTAATTACACAGAGATGGATCGATTTTAGTTGGGCTACTAATCTGCTACTGAAATTTCTTTCTGTTATGATGAAGCCCTGATCTAGGATTTGAAGACAAGGTGTTTGGCAGACCTTCAGGGGGCATGGTGAGGAAGCATGCCAAGTGCCTTACGTTAAGTTATTATGATGAAGTTCCTGGTTTTATAATTCCTCTCTACAACCATAAGCAACCAGGGGAGTTTTTTATGCTCTGATCCCTGGAGTGTCAGAAAGTTTGGTCCAGGACTGTTCATTTTAAGAGAGACTGAGTTTAAATCTTATTGGAAATTAGATTAGTAACAGACCAAAAGTAGCTAGAGTTTTCAAAACTGGATGTAATAAAATGATGGCTTTGGTTCAGCTTTTTAACCTTTAAGAGATAAAAACTTGAAACCATGACAGAAGAATACAGCCAAATACGGAGTTAATTGCATAGCCAGTCTTTCACAAACACACACACAAAGTGATAATAAAAACCTGCACGTGGCTGTGATATGTATTTTACCAAAGGTACACCAGTGACTACCCTTCTTCTTATAGGCTCCTTATGAACTGCACATGATAGAGTAACACTTGGATAAAAGATTAAATGGAAAATTAAAACATTTGTAAGGCATACTTTGAGGACCCAATACAATTTACTGCTCTAGTTCAACTGCCATGCTTCTCAGTCTCAGATTGTGATCATATGAAATCACCACAAGAAAAACCTGAAAGTGCTGATGTAATTTAAAGCTGACAGTGGAAAGGCAGACAGATGTTAATGGAGCTGAATAGGGAATGCAATTGAAAGCACTGAAATAACCCTTCATCTCTATCACCAGTAAACACAGAAAAATTGCACCAAACCCTTGAAGGAAAATAGCTTCATCTCATTACTGCCTCCACATTTGCATTCTGTGAAAAAGAGTCTTGTGCCCTCTTCCAGATGAAGAGCTGGGGTGCAGAGATTCATTTTCATAGCCATTTGCCAGCATCACCCAGTTGTTGTCCCTGTTTCTGTGAAGCTCCCTCCTTTTTCCTGTGGGGCTTCAAACGTAGACCCTTGGTGGCAGGTTTATGCTCAGGTCTCATGCTCTTACAACTAAAGTAAAAGGCAAAAGGCTTGTGTTAATCTGCGTGAGATTTTGGCCTCTTTTCTGGAAGCTCGTCATCACTGTCACACTGATCTGGTAGTCTTGTGCCTTTTTTAAGGTGTAGTGATACTGAGACCCCCTGTAGGAAGCAAGTACTTTAATGTTTTTCTTGCTTACCATGATCAGACAGAAAGTACTACAGCAAACCCTTGTTATCTACGTACATCTTTTAGACAAATTGGCATTGATGCCATTCACTGTGGAGGGTGAGGACGGCACATTTTTATAAACTCTTGTTAGATTCATTGACTGAATCTGTAGGGCCTACTTTTTATAAGTATATTTTGCACATGTTTTGTCCATTTCGGTCAGTGTTAGGTCTTTTACTTACCAACACCACACTGTAAAAATATCTACATACAATAAAAAGGTGTGCATTCAAAAGGAGTTTTAAGATAAAGTACTGTTTTTATTACATACACCTACAAACCAAAAGTTATCATGTAAAATGAGTCCCTTTAGAGCTGATATTGACTACATTTAGCTACCCTGATGTACTACTGTATAACTATTTTAATATTATAAATACATTGATATAGTTTAATTATATATTTTATATAAAATATTAGTCTAGTCTAGAAACTATAGCTGTTGGTATAGAGTAATTTGAATAGTATTTCTCTTGAAATGTAAGTAAGAAGTGTAAGTAAGATAAAAATAGGGAGACCTAAGTAAAGTATCTTGAAAATCTTCTTAAGTACAGTACTTGAGTACATGCATTTAGTTACTTTCTGCTGCAAATTTTGGTCAGCTATGAATTTCTTGCTGTAGAGCCTTATGCCTTTGAATGAACTATATTTACATTCAGGTTGTCAGCTCATCATCTTGAACCGGATGAATCACAGAGGACAGTATCAGATTTTGTGACACTCATCAGAGTGAGAAATTGCAGCCTGAAGGATAAGAAGCTACTGTCAAGTCTTGTGGACAGTAGCTTCTTTTTCCTTAACAGTCTGCTCCTGCAAAAAAATATGGGACAGCAACATGGGATACTCTGCTGTCCTACTGAGAACACCTGACGCAGCTAGCTACCAGGCCAAGCAGATGATACTGTTTCTCCCGCTGCTGTCAAGGACTGTTCCAGCAGCAGAACGCTGGTGAGGCTCACAGAAAGATGACTCATCAGCATTTGTCTTAGTTTGAACACCCACATGGGAGGAGTTTCCTCTATGTGTGTGTGTGAGGGTATGTGTCCGCTAGATTGTCTGCAGACACATTTCATGTGTAAAATATGACATGTATGAATCTGTGCTTTAATATGCAAGGCAACAAAGAAAAACAGACCCCCTTCTCCTCAGCTCTTTGTGCCATGTATGCCTCATAAAATCCCCCTGTGCTTTCAGGTGCACAGTATCAGCAGCTGACAGCAAAATGAGTGAGGCCTTCATTTTTTTCTGCAGTTCTCTCTCCTCTTCTCTTTGTGTCCTGATGTGTTGGAGCAACTATATAGTATGTAAAAATAATGGTGTTATGTGTCATTTAGTATGTAAAAATAATGGTGTTATGTGACATTTCAGTCAGTTCAATTTAGCTTATCTGTTGAAAATGTTAACATATGTGTGGGACAGTGATAGTACACAGGGAATGAGACCTAACACTACAGAAGGGAATTCATTTCTGTTTAACGAATCCCCTGAGTGTTATTTGGTTGTTTGAGTCTCCTGGGATGTCGAGGACCACGTTTTCTACCACTCCACACTGTGTTCCCTTAATTTAGTCTCCTACTGACATGATAAGGAAATGCCTGTTTTGGAAAACACGCCTCTCCTGGCTCTGACCGTGCTAGTTGTACTTTCAGCTGCATTAAAGATTAAAGAGCGTGCCTTATTATGGGAATCACACACACAAACATGTAGAGGAAACTCTCCCAGTCCATCACAAACAACACAGATGACAGAGATCCATGTGCTGTACAAAGATACATGCACTCAAAGGAATGCATATGTTCACTGAAATATATGGTATGTATTTATCAGTGTATACAAACACGCATGCAGAGAGACACAAACTCTGGAGCAGCAGCTTTAAAAGTGGGGCACTGGTAGTCATGGAAACCAGATCTGTTCGTGCTGGAGTCACAGCACATGTCATAAGATGGGGAATCAGCAACACCCAGAGATGCCCTATCCTCAATCTGTATGTCTACAACACACAGTGAGATATGTAGCAAGGTGTATGTGCATGTGGCCATGGCGCATGTGCACACACACACACACAAGAGCATCCCCTCCTGTTTTATGGCCCCAAGCAGAGAAAGTGAGCAAAGAGAGCAGGGGCATGGATTGAGAGATGGGAAGGTGTGAGGCAAAATGAAAGAAAGGCTGAGGAGTCTAAGATGGGGGAGGAAAGGAGGGTGTGCAGGGGGAAGGCTGGACATGACAGAGAAAGAGGGAGGAGAGCACAGAGGCAATGGCAGAGTGGTGCGGAGAATGGGAGACGCAGTGGGCATCATATCAAAGCACCCGCTTTATCCGGCTGCTCAGACAGAGGGGCCTGTGTGTCTCTGTGTGTGGATGTTTGTATGTTTTACTGGGTTGATTTCGCACCTGTTGTTCTGGTAGCTGCAGTTTTACCACATATATTAACTTTAAGCAAAGTTTCTTAAACTAAGGGTTAGGACCCCACTTTGAGGTCAGGTGATATACAGTCAAGGACGCTGGAGATGTGTGGATTTAGCAAAATTGTGTGAATTTACTTGACAATTTAATAGATTTTACAAGCCAGAAAATGTTGAGAAACTCTGATTTAATTAATTACACTACATTAAAAACTAGATCTAGAGTTTAAGCTTTTAACCTATTAAAGTATCCAGGGTGACTTTCTGGAGTTAACAGTTCACTGTGTCTTTGCCGTCAACACTGTTATTCCAATATGACAAAGCTAGTCAGCATGTTTAAGCTCAGAGCAACAGCTA